GGAAAATTCAAAGAAACCCTTGTGATATAATCCAAGAAGGGCTAAAAATCACAGATGAATGGTGTAAAACTGCTGGTTTAGGGATTAACCCTAATAAAACAACCATAGTCGCTTTGGACGGAAAAGAAAACTGGATCACATGAGGCAGATGACACTCAATAACAATGTGATAGAAATGAAAAAAGAAGCCAAATACTGGCAATAATTACTCATATACAAAATGGTTTCGTCCAGAACTTATTGAAAAAATCAAGTAAAAAAAGATGTATCATTCATTATACAAGCAAACTCTTGATAATTATTATTATTCAAAATTTTCATCTCTTAGAGTACAATGTAAAACACTGTCGAATATCTACTATAAGAATTATCTTTCTGATACAGAAAACTCAATCTATTGTAATACTAAAAAGTTTTGGAATTATTTAAATTCTGTCAACAATTCTAAGGCCATGCCCTCTTTCATGCATTTAGGAAATGACTCTTCGTCTAATGGCCATGACATTGCTAATCTCTTTGCTAAATATTTTTCCCAAGTCTATGATCACAGTTCTGATCTCCCCACTTCTCTACCTGAAACAACCTCTCTCCTTATGCCATCTTCTCACAGTATCTCTAATTACTATATCTCACACGATGAATCCCCAATGCTTTGAAATGCACTTTTGTCATTCCTCTACATAAAGCCAGCAATAAATCTAATGTTTCCTATTACAGACCAATATCTATTCAATCCATGTTCTCCAAGATATTTGATCCCATTATTTGTAATAAACTTAAAAACGACATAAAATATTTTATTATACCTCAGCAACATGGTTTCTGCTCCAATAGATCAACTGTTCCTAACCTGCTCACATTTCAAAATTATATCTTAGATGCAATAAAAACTCTGGACACCAAGTCTCAGTGTACACTGATTTCTCTAAAGAGAGATTTATAGAGTAAATCACACAATACTGTTAAGGAAACTAATGGATTATGGCTTCACCGGAACTTTCTTGAATTGGTTATCCAGATTTTTCTCCAACAGAAAACAAATAGTCAAAGTAAAATCATTTAAATTGTGTCTCTTTGCAGCTTCCTCGGGAGTCCTGCAAGGGTCTCTTCTCGGACCGGTTTTGTTTCTCTTATTTATTAATGATATCCATCTTGCTCTCCCTTCTGCTTAATTTTTATTATTTGCTGACGATCTAAAAATCTATTCCAAAATTACTTCTCCTTCTGATTGCTTTCAACTACAAAATTCTACAACAATTCAATTACAAAATGTGCTAACCTGGTGCTCTAATAACAAACCTGCTCTCAATGTCTCCAAATGCTACACAATTACATTCTCTCTTAAGAACCAACCTTTTCTTTATCACTACACGCTCCAAGATTAACGTGAGTTGAGGTTGTAAAGGATCTTGTGTACTTTTTGATCAAAAGCTCAAGTTTAAAGAACATATTTCTTCAATAAAAAATAGATCTATGAAGATGCTAAGTTTCATCATCTGGAACACCTATGAATTTAAAAATCTTCTATGTTTTGTCCATCTGTATAAAGCTTTTGTACAACCCATACTAGAACACGCTACACCTATTTGGAACCCATACTATCTAAATTATCAAAAAATTCTTCAATCTGTACAAAACAAATTAAAAAAAAACTCAATCTTCCTTCAAACTCTGCCTACCCTGGAATCCACTCTGAATTTAAACTTTTTGAACTGGCACTAAGAAGGGATTACTTTGATATTGTTTTTGTATTTAAATTATTAAACAATCTCATTGATAGTCCTTCTTTCCTCTCGCAGCTAGAGCTACACATCCCTTTGCACACTTTCAAAACCCACAAACTATTTTATATTGAATTCCAAAGCTCTAACTTCATGCTCTCTCCTCCTCTACACCGAATGGTGATCAAGAGTAACAACATCTGCAATAGCATTGACTTCTTCAATAGTTCTGTGCAATCTGTATAAAACCATATCCTACAACCCTACTGTAGTTGAATTTTCTTACCAGTTTATTTTATTTTTTTAATCCTTTTATATTTCATACTGTTAAAAGTTTATTACAATTTATTTCATTTACTGGTTCACCTAAATCTTGCACTCTAGTCTTATTATATCTACAAAGAGCATTATTTTCATTAAATATGTACCTAAATATTGTAGTTTAAATTGCCTTTCAGCTTTATTTTGTTTCCTTTGCCTTAATTTGGTTAATAATTATGTCTTTCATTTTTATTGTTGTTCAGTTGTTACTCTTTTTGTATTTTTATATTTATCATTTATATTTACCATTTATCATATTACCATGTATATATGTCCCTATTCTTTTTGTATATATTATTTTGTATATTATTTTTATTTTTTGATAATGTAAAATGTTATTTTATAGTTATACATTTTTGATCCGTAAATAAATAAATAAATAACACTGTGATAGAAATGAAAAAAAGAAGCCAAATATCTAGGTGTCACACTAAACCAAACGCTGGCATTTAAGGAACATATTGGTTCCTCTGCCAAGAAAGCGGAATGAACCTTAATGGTGTACAGAAGAATAGCGGGGAAAAACTGGGGAGACAGACTGGAAAAGCCTGCTTTGGATATACACCATGATGGCGAGACCTATGACACCATAGCCTAGGCTGATAAAGTAGAATAAATGACAAAATGAAGAGAACTCATGAAAATATGGACTTGCATGCATTTGTATAATGGGAGCAATTAGATCATGTCCCAAAGTTGGTATAGAGAAGATACTGGGATTAATCCTCCCCCACCACATGATAACGAGGACAGCACAGAAAACTATTATTTGTATTAAAGAGAAACCAACAGTAGGAATAAAACTAAAATGGAGAGATTGCAACAGTGTAATGAAAAACCACTCATGGCGCCAAGAGATGACATGAACAGGATGTTTGAGTTTAACCAAAATTTCCACATAAAGTTAGGTTAAAGTTTAACCAAAAAAGAATGGAACAAACAGAAAAACAACCTTCTACTGATACACAGAAGGATCTAGAACACAAGGTACAGGGATAGGAATATTTGGTCCTGGAATCAAATATACTCAGAACCCATGAGAAAATACACCACTATCTCCCAAGCTGAGGTTCATGCAATTAAAAGGTGTAATTAAAAGAACGAGGAAGGGTTCAAAAACAAGAATATAGCTATCATGTCAGATAGCCAAGCAGCCATTAAAGTTCAAACATCATTAGCTCAAAGATGGTGCTGAATTGCACAACCAAACTAAACAAATTAGGTACGCAAACAAAGTCAATGAGCATCTCAGACAGAAGTATAAAAAGAAAATGAGGGAACACTGGAACTCAGTCATTGGACGCAAACAATCCAAGAATGTCATTAACTTTTAGAGAAAAGAGGTAACAGAATGTATTAAAGGAAGCATGAAAGGACAGGTTTTTGGTTGAGATGAAATATTAGTGTCCTAAAGGATTCTTAATAGGACACTGCAAACTAAATGGACATCTGAAGAAGATTGGCATAACCCAACACGGCACATGTAGAATCTGCAAAGAAGCCTCAGAACGGGTTAAAATGCCCTAAAACGATGTGTTTATATAACCCAACAGCCTTGCTAATAGAGGGGAAAAAGATTTGTAACAATTCTACAAAATTTAAACTTTATAATACGTTTTTTGCTTCTCATGTAAAATGTGAAAAGTTGGAGATGGCCCCTTTACAAAATGACTGATTCATTTATATTCCTAACATGTGTAGGTATCAATGCAGTGTATTGATCTATTTGTTTGTTGTTTAAAATTACATGTATACTATTTACCCTATAGTTTTGAATGTGACTTTATATTTAAAATAAATGTGTAACCTAAGGAATTATTTACTTATAAAAACTTGGAACAATTGTGTACAACATATAATGCTAAAGGAATACTTGAAAGATAGCTTATCACAAAGAATGCTCTGTGTAAGATTAAAAATAAACTGGTTGAAGAATTTATAATGTGAGCCCAGAACTGTCTAGGACATCCTTTATATAAGTAAACTAGATCTTGAAAAGAAGGCACTGAAGGGAGGCCTAGACTGTAACTCTGCAGGTAGGATGGTCAATAAATTGTTGTGGAGTGCACTTATGCCTCAATAAGTACATTAGAAACAAGGACGCGAAGCTATACTCATTGTGCAACCTGGAAAGTGGCGAGGACGTATTTCATTTTGTAGCCGTATGCCCTGCACTAAGAGAATTTTGGGTGGAATTTATTTAACAAAAAGACCCTAAATCTCAAGGTGCTGATACACATTTTAAATGGATCGGGTTGGCAGTAACTGGTAAAATATACTGCAAACAACAGATACTTCCTCGTCATACACTTTAACTATTAGAAGAATCTTATTTATTTGTACCTTTCTTTTCTTTAATTTGGTATTATATGTATTATTTGATGATTATTTTATTTTTGTAGATGTACTTTTTTCCTGAATTATTATCAAGCAACGCAACCCCTCCGATGGTCCAAATGACCAGGAGTATTGCCGTTCTTCATTCTTCTTTTTATATATTAATTTTGTTTATTATTCCAATTAATTATTCTTTTCATCTAAGGTTTTTGGTTGAGATGAAATATTAGTGTCACGAGCGGGATTCGAACCCACGACCTTCGGCTCAAGACGTCGCTGCTCTAATCACTTGAGCTATCGTGTCTTCCTTTATTATTTTTATAGTAAAGGTAGTTTTAAGATTATTATTGCTCGTATTGTTATGTACCAATATACATACTTTCTTGTGAAAATGTTTATTTTATGATTATGTTAAATAATATGCTATTATTATTAATGTGTAACCTTTATTTTCTATTTACAAGTATTAAAAATTGTAAATAATCTTTGATAAATTATGGTTTTCTTGTCTGGGGAAAGGAAAACTTCAATGACATCACAAGCGGCAAAACGTAAGCGCATGTCTGCCGATAATTGTCTTGCGAGTTGCGACCGATTTTGGCCGATTTCCGAGAATAAGAGATGAAAATTGTCTGTGGAAAAGCCATGGGAAAACCGGTTTCATCGTTTAGACGTTCAACTGCCAGTCGGTGGGGTCGTCTAAGAGGTCGTCTTTGCCTCGAGGTGGCTTTGAACTTCTGGAGAGGTTGCGCTCTTTGCTTTCGGTTTTGATCAAATCCAGGGTTCGAATGCATTGGTTAGTTTAGTATGCTCGAGAAAATGGCGATGACGGTGGACGGCGGCGGCAAAGAAGAGCTCAAAACCCAGTTCATGACGAGAGAAGGGACTTACAGGCTCATGACCCTCTCGGAATATTCTAGGCCCAACAGAGTAGGCTACACGAATATACAGGGCAGCACCTCTGTCAGGGTATCGTTCGTCACTTTGCCCGATCCGAACGGGAACGGTGACAGGATTTGCTTCAACATCGGACGTGAACTCTACGTTTTTATTTATAAAGGAGTTAAAACGGTGAGTGGAACATTTTATCACCCTCCTCGGCGAGCCCTCGCCCCTTTCCGTTTGCCGGTGGGGGAAAAAAACAAGTTGAGGTTAACGTTTCAAATCTGTCGTTACTCGGTTTTTAATCGTTAACTTTTTCCTCCGAGGCTGGACCCTGTTCCGAGGCGCGGCCGGCCTCACTTCCTCACGTCTTCATTCAACAGGATCCGTTTGAAAAAATACAGACAATAATTTACAACCCTCTTGTTTTATTTTGATAAACAATCGTTGATAAGAGGCCGATATTCGAGCGAGAGGGAGCGTGTGTGGGAAAGAGAGCGGCAGAAACGGAAAACAAAGATAATATTGTTACTTCCCAAATTATTTACTTGAAAAATTAATTCTGACGTTTATGTTAGAAACAATGGTCGATTTACTTTCCTCCCTGTTTATTTTAATATTAACGTTTACTTTGGGTTCGACCGTCCGACGACTTTAGTTTTCACACGTCTGCCGGTCTAACATTAGAGAATATTCTCTAAAAACAGCCGATTTGATCGTTTCCCCTCTTGTTTTCAATGTTGTCCTCGTCAAACCCAAAAAGTTGTAAGGCTCTTAAACTGTTATCTCTCGATATTTAACAATAATTGATTGTATTTATTTTGCAATAAAACCCATTGGAAGGTGACAATTTTTCGAAAGAGGACCTAAAAGTTGTATATTTTAGAAAATATTTTGCTAGTACCATTTCACATTTGTCCTCGCATCTCTTATCATACCTCATTCAAATTATCCAATGAAATGTGGACATTAATTGAAATGTGACATGGGGAACCGTAAATCACCCCAAAAAATTGATTACCTAGTAATAATGCCAATTTGAATATGTACTAAGTAACATGATTATTGTCAAAATTAAATAATGATTAGAAAATTTCAAAATTCTTCATATCAAGGAGTACACTGGTTTTGACACTCATAAGTGGTGGGTCATTCATTATCTCACCTCATTTACATTTCACCACTTTACGGTTATCTTGAAAGATGGTATGGGTAACTGTAAAACAGCCTAAAATTTTTAAATAAGCCATAATAACACAAGTTTTAATATACACGAAATAGTGATTATTGATTTAATAAGCTCAATTCTACACAAGGATGTATATAAAGCATGCACAGAGCTGAACATATCACTTCTTGCAGTTCACTGGCAATACCAGTTTTTGTAGTTTGCAATAAATTACCAGCTGGCCTCAAGAATTACCCACTTCAGATGTCGGTAGTTCGGGGTCATATCTCAGTCTTATGTGTCCACCCGCCGAGTTGTGCTCCAGGAGCTATCAACAGCTAGGTCATTTCTACCTCTAATGCAATCAGTTAATAAACTTATTCACACACTCACTATTAAATATATTCTTTCCCATTTACATACAATTCACTCAATGGTGTAATATTCGATATTACTCCATCACCATTCTAATTGTGGGCAATAGGGTACTCAATATTTCACCACTTTACGGTTATCTTGAAAGATGGTATGGGTAACTGTAAAACAGCTTGTCCCTGTTAGGAAGGGGTGTTGTCCCTGTTACACTACCCATTCACTCTCAACTCACATTAGTGGATGCAAAGGTATAAGAATACACATACTAGTATTATATACAATAGAACAACCCTGTTTCCTCCTAAAATTGAAACGGGGACACAGACACTCGCTGCCATGCTCAGGCACAATTCTCATGCCAGGTGGCATTCATACATGCTCTCCATATAGAGCCAAAGAATGGCACCCTTCAATTGAGTGGGACACATCGAACAACATTCTTTATATGCTGGACACATGCGGGCTTTGTCCCAAAAGTAAGTTTCCGTGTGTCAACCTCACATGGCCTATTCTTAATTGATATGCATTGAATAATTTAGTTATAACCACAATTAAATAAGAAAATCAGCAAATATTAAAAGTTTTCTTTTCCTGGAAGATGCTCACTTGAATTGAGCATTGGGGCATTATAAGACCCTGGAAGGACTTATTGCATTTATTTAACCATAAATTCGTATGGAATGGGTTTTTTATAGGGAAGAAAAAATTTTTCTTTTAAACAATGCTTTCTTGTTAGGTGAAGAATTTATGCATCCATTGACCTTTTGTCAGACGTTGTGTTAAATTATTAGGCCCAATAGAATAGCAAACTTTTTGAAAAAGTTGTTTGTTACATGCCGCAACTTGCATTGACCCCTTAATCCTTTCAAATAAATATGAATGCTGAGAAGAGGGTATTAACTTGTTATTATTTATCATTAGGACATTACTTAGTACCATCTTCAACTCTTCGCAACAAGTCAGCAATATTAGTTCTCTCTCACTCACTCTCTCCCCCTCCCTCCCTCTCCTTTAACCCCTCTCTTTCTCCCTCCCTTCCTCTTTCTCACTTCTTTCTCACTTTCTCCCCCCTTCCTTCCTCTCTCCCTTGCTCCCCTCTCCTTTTCACTCNCCCTCCCTCCCTCCCAATTCTCTCACCAAAAAGGCACCAAGAAAAGTGCTTAATCTTATGTGAAAAGGGGCACTTTCCAAGGTATGGTTATAATTTGTAAGTGTTCCCAATAGGTCTATATAAGGCTGCAGTGGAGGAAAGGTTTTTTTAAAATCCTTATTCAACCTAAAAACCTAAAAAATGGAGAATGATGCATATATTTTGAAACATACAAACTACTGAAAATAATAAAATGTCACAATACGACAAAAATGCATCTTATTGACAAGCAATAACAGGCATATCATGCTGACTGAACAGTTGTTCATCCTACATACCTCAGCCCATTATTTCACAATAATTTACATGCTTATCTAGAGGAATTAATAATTGTTTTGCCGTGCTAGTGGTTCTGGGTTTTAGGATTGCCCTTGGAATGTTATTTGAGAATAATTTGAAAAAATATTGTAAAGTAGTCTGGCTCCTTGACCATGGCACCCAATGACAATCCAGCTACACGGAAAACCCTCTTGTATGGCAATAATTAGAGTTAATTTGTACGTGTGGTATGTAATACTTTTGATGAGTGGTGCATAAATTAACAACCCTGAATTGTTTGAGTTTTTGTCCTCTATCTTTTTTTTTAATATCTCTCTCTCTCTCTTATATTTATATATAATATAAATATTTATGATGCAGTGATATAACTAATTGTGTTCTTCCGGTTTTTGAGTAATTATGAATGTCATTATCTTAAATTTGTTTTAGGCTGCTGATTTAACGAAGCCAGTTGATAAAAAAATGTATAAAGGTACTAATCCAACATGCCATGACTTCAACACCGTAAGCATGACAGCCGATTCTGTATCTCTATTAGTCGGTTTCTCTACAGGTCAAGTACAGTTGATCGATCCGATTAAAAAGGAGCTTAGCAAATTATACAATGAAGAGGTATGTTTGAATAATTATTTCATTATCACAGCTATACGATGTTACAAGTTAAAAGCTCAATATGTTTTATTTACTACCTGTTTGCTTTTCAGGAATTAGTTTAAACTTAAGTGCCATGTCTATGTCTGCTTTTTCTTTTTTCTTTTTTTTCCAGAGGCTTATAGATAAGAGCAGAGTTACGTGTATTAGATGGGTTCCGGATTCTAGCAATTTATTTTTGGTTTCCCACAGCAGTGGACAACTTTATTTGTACAACGAGGAGTTGCCTTGTGGTACATCACCTCCACACTACCAAGTTTTCAAACAAGGAGAAAGTTTCACTGTGCATACTTGTAAAACAAAAAGCACCCGCAACCCCCTTTATCGTTGGGTTATTGGAAACGAAGGGGTCAGCATAAACGAATTTGCTTTCTCACCGTGTGGCACTTATTTAGCAGTTGTATCTCAAGATGGATTTTTACGAGTTTTCTATTATGACACGATGGAATTAGTAGGCAGTGCCAGGAGTTATTTCGGTGGTTTCTTGTGCGTTTGTTGGTCACCAGATTGTAAATACATAGTAGTCGGTGGTGAGGATGATTTAGTGACAGTTTGGAGTTTCCACGAGAGAAGAGTTGTTGCAAGAGGACAAGGTCATCACAGTTGGGTGAGTGTTGTAGCCTTTGATCCGTACACTTCTGCAATAGGAAACATTTCAGAATGGAATGAAAATTCAAATTCGGAGACTAAAGTGGACACTTGTTATAGATTAGGCTCAGTAGGTCAAGACACTCAGTTGTGTTTGTGGGATATAACAGATGATGTGTTAAGGCAAAAGCCTGCAAATCGGACTAGATCAAGTGTAATCAGTGGCTCTGTCTCATCAAGTTTGAACAATACTCATAAGACTTCCAATGCTATTTTTAACAAAGAAAAAGAAACTAGTGAACCTATCACCAGTTTTACTCAAAGGCTTGGTATCGGCTTTGATAGAAAAGATAATGTGGGCCACAAACGTAGTCTCTCGAAAGGTGCATCTATTCATATATCAAATAATTTTTCTGACGATCCAATGAAATTAATCGGGACCAACAGTTGCCCCCGTTTTGACGAATGTCCTCTAATGGAACCATTAGTTTGCAAAAAAATTGCCCATGAAAGATTAACAGCACTCGTGTTTAGGGAGGATTGTTTTGTGGCCGCATGTCAGGACGGTTATGTTTATACATGGGCACGGCCTGGTAAAATGGTCAGTGATAGTGAATTTGTCACATTTTCCTAATACAAAATAATCAATGTAAATATAACTTTCCAGCTTTGGAAATTCCTTAATGTTAAATACAATAGGGAAACAAAAGTGAAAAATACTGCACAGCAGAAACTGCAATGTGTAGTATAATTTTGTACCTGAACATAGCCAACCAAAAAACTTAAAGGATATATTTATAAATAAATAGGTAATAATTTTAAAAAGTAAACATTAAAAGTCGGGATCTAAAAAAAAAATATTGATTTACTACAAAATCAGTTGTAATCGGCTGGTTTGTAAAAAAAAATATTGTATTACTTTATCAGTTAGGTTTTAATTTAATCAGTTGACGAAATCCAATATAATTGGAGATCTAAACATACCATGCATTTTGATTGTTGTAAATTACTTATGTTAAGTATTTAATTAATTTTTCTCTTCATAGTCATTGTCATTATTAAAATATTAAGTATTAGCAATGGTCATTCAAGCGAGGATAAACATTTATCTGTTTTCAAATTATCCAACTCATAATGCAATAGGATAAAAACTCTTGTGAAGTGTTTTGACAAATATTTCCATTTTTATTCTATGGAAATAAAAATTACAATACGCTTGGTAATAGAAACATTTCATTGTGTTCACATTGGTGCAACTGATAATACAGTTGTACTTCTACTTTATCAACATCATATAATAAGTCCCTAGTACTTATTTATGTTGTTAATTATAGAAAAGGAAAATGTTAAACCAAAATTTCTGTGGACCAAAAAACGAAATTCAACCTTCAAAATTTGAAAAATGTGTACTTGTCTAACAACATTGACCATTGCAGAAAGGAAAATAACCAAAATAAGAGTTACAATATTAATACGAGTCATTTATTGAACAGTTTTCACTGTAATATGTGTATATTTTGGTTATACTACTTTTCCTTTTATCAATCTTAAACAACTGAGCTGATTATATTTGGAAATATATGAATTTATGATGGAGGAGTTTGTTTTATTTCATTTTTATGTTGAAAGTGTAAAGTTCATCTACTTACATGGAAAAAATATTTTTTTTTTTTTTTTTTAAAAAATAAAAANCATATTTTTATTTTATTTTTTTTTTTCAAACAAAATATACAAAACTGACCTAACTCCATTGTAATTTTATTGTATCTCTTTTACTTTGCTTAAAATAAATACATAATTTAATTTGAATTTTAGTACATATATAAAAAAGTTATACAAACATTTCTATATTTGTATTTGGGCACTAACGTACATAGTTAAAATTTAATTATTACGTGATGTTTTGGTTCCCAATAAAACTATAGAACTGTGATATTAAAGAAATTATGTAACCTGCATTTGAAATTGTTGTAAAGATCAAATGAGGATGTTTTGTCATTATAATTTATTAAATTTAAGAATTATTTCTTGCTTGTCTTGCCCACATTCTGATCCAGTTTAATCTGTACTTCGGTGTTTATATTGTGTACAACATAGTAAAGTCAAGTGTACGGTGCAGGCTGATGAACATTCCAAAGTTTATTGTATCGAGGTATTAGGTTTCCAATTTTCGCAACTTCTGATTGTATTTTTCATTTTGTCTTTGTTAATCTGTCTGTTTCACACATTCATACAAGCTTGTAGGATTTTTTTATGTTTTATCCCAATATTTTAACAATTTTATTTTACTTGTTATACATCATTCAATATGATCACAGATCCAATTTGTATTGTTTAAATTAAATTTAATTGTGTTATTTCAAACTGCATGCTCGATAGACTGAATATCTTTAAAATACTGATTTTACTAAGATTCGCATGCAGTTTTTAATCCATAGTTTTAGTAATAACATTAAATTGTTTTTCTTTTACAATATTTTTAAAAAATAATCATCGAAAGAGTATTTAATGCTAAAATTCGTAACATTGTTAAATCATTTTCAAGTATAATTTATTGGCAATAGAAGCAAAATTACTTGAAATATCTTTGTGCTCTTTGATTAAAACCCGATAAATTCAAAATTAATTAATTTTCTGTTGTACCCATTGTATTTGAAATAAATAACAGTTGTTGTTTTATTTTTTTATATAACGTCTATCCATTCTCATGATGATCCAGATGCCTTGTTGCTCACATTTTTTCTTCTTCCTTTTTTCACTTTTGAAATTGTGATATATTTTGTTATAGTTTAATATTTTCTCATCATTTGAATTGATGCAGTCAGGTGTTGTAACTCTTTCCTTATTTAAAGGTGGTCAATATGACTCTAATGTTACGCTTATAGAAAGTCTAATTTTCCTTTATTCTTTCATGTATTTGTTTGTGCTACATCATTCATTTGTTATTGTTTTAATTTGCCAGTTATATTTTTTAATTTAAGCAGTTATTTAAAAGAATGAGTATTTTGACATTACATATATCAAATTGAATTCTATTTTTAATTTACATTTCAATAAACTCTTTAAAAAAATTCTTTTTATTTGTTTTTGTTTGTACATATGAATGAACAATAAAATTGTTTAAATAGATAGATTTATTATAAATCATATTTTTTTAATTCATAATAGCCTCATACCGATAAATAAATTATTAATGAGTGCATTCGTTTTATTTGTTCACCTCATTCCATTTTATTCAGTATTTTATTTTTGCTTTTTAATTGTTTGCTTTTAATTTTTTCTCTCTGTACATTACATGATAATTTCTGTTGAAATACCTCTTGAAAATTGTGCCTGTGGAAATACCTCTTGAAAATTGTCCATCGACTTCAGAATGTCAAAGACAGTTCAACGCGCACTAAGTGTCTGCCCAAAAGTGTCTTGACTGGAAAATATGTTTATACCTTAAACCGAAAACTTTTTAACATTAAACAAATACGATTGTAACATGTGAATTAACTTAAATCTTGAAGCCACATAATTTGAAATTTAGAGAAATTTTTTCACAAATCTAATTTAACTAGATATTAAATTCCAAGAAATGTGTGATTTTTTCCTTTCAAATAAGATTGGGATTTAATATCATTTTTATACTATAAATATAATCAGTCATTTTTAATGCTCGGCCATTAAATTGAGAAACAATCATGCACAGATCTACAAAAAAAAAAAATCATTTTCTGCTTAAGTTTCCATTGTAATTTTCTTTTTGTAGAATTGCATTATTGCTTTTGATTGACCTCCTCCCTTCTAAATAAAAAAAAGTAATATTAAAGAAAATAGTTAGCTGTAAAATGATAAAGAGTCAATGGGCAATAAAGGAATTCGTTTGTGTATTATAATCTTCCAGTGTTACAGAAAGATGAATATCACGATTAGCATGTCACATCATAAAAATTCTAACCATTTTAAATAAATGTAAATGTAAATAGGTATATAATCGACAGACGGCCACAGCCATTGTCATTCATGCTTTGTAAACTATATATCATTACAAATTTTATTTATTTTCCAATAAAGCATCTTAAAAAAAATAGGTATATAAAAAACTGAAGTTTTGGAAGAGTAGTGATTTTGAAAATTCTCTATTGTATAGTCATTCCGTAAAGTGCTCTTTATGAAAGTAATGCTAGATGTTATTATTTTGAGATGTAAGCAGTTGTAGCGTAAATTTTTTTTTAATAGTAATTTATGTAAATTATTCTTTTAAAAAAAATTGTGTAAAATTATAACTGTTCTGTTAATTTTATTTGGTTTACTTATTATTATGACGATGATATGTTCACTTAAAGATTGTCTTAGTGATGTCATTTTTTAAAAAATATTAACAATGTTTGAATCCAGACTGATGTAAAAAGTTAACATTGATCCTTTTGAATCGTACGATGCGTAACAATATAAAATCTTTTCACAAGTTATATGACTGTTATTTTTGACAGAATCTTTTCACAAGTTGTATGACTGTTATTTTTGACAGAATCTTAGATGGTTTTCTCAATATGAAATTGCACATGAACATGTTTCAATTGTGTGGATTGTAAGGGCTTAATGTTAGACTATCTGGCTTTAAATAAAAAGTTCTCCTGCGGTTAATATAAAATACACTTTTCTTAAACAATATTTTTATTTTGAAAAATCATACAGAGTTTATTTAGAAAGAATTGTAACATGTGTAACTCAAAAAATTTTTTTTCTATATTTATATTAAATTTTAACGTGCTTCAGTATTTTTTAAATATCAAATTGGCACTGCCTTAGATATAAGTTTGCAATAATCATTTAGCATACGATTTGTACCACCTTATTATCAGTGTTAAAACATTGCTGCTGTGGCAAGAAATTCACTAACCATATTGGCTTTTAATTGAATCCAGAAAAAAACGTAGCTCGCTAGGCATTATAATACTCGAGTCCCTCGTGCGATTAATAGTTAAATTGACTTGATTGACGAACCATAAGTGTATGTTATATTAATAGTAGAGTCAACAATTGTAGCATTGAACAATTTGAAGACAATAGCTTTGTTATTGTTTGCTATTGTTAAAGGTTTATTGATGATGAAAAAGTTGATTAGATCTTGTTAAGGTAGAATTTGTTTATAACAATATTTAATAGTTGAAATCAGATTAATACACCTTGATGTAATTATCCATTTAAAAATATTACATTACTGAATTCTTTTTTATAAAAAGAAAATGTATATACCTATATTTTTATTGAAAATTTTATCCTATAAACCTTTTCATTTTTTTAGCGATAAAACACATCTCTATTAAATAGAAGAAAAAGGTCGATAGATTATCTNTTGGTTTCTTCAGTTGATATTTTGTAACATTCCAAACAGAAAAGACAATAATGTAAATATAAAAGTAAAAATATGCATCCAGTGCCATCTCTTGGAGAAAAAAAAGAGTAAAGAATGTTAAAACAATATTGTCCGCATCAGACTTGATCATTCCTGCATGTCTAGAACAAATGAAATTCAGGCACTAGTGTTTAAAATTTTTTTTAGATTGACGATCAATGCTCATTTATACCCAACATCCAATATATGTTTTCTTTTCTTTTTTTCCTTCTAATTTTATATATTGGCATAATTTTTGAATAACGAAACTACGAAACCCTTTAAAAACAGAGCATCAGCCGCATCATCGGGTTATAAACAGATTCTACTGAATTTCACATACTTCAAAGACAATTTATGCTCATATCGTACTTTAAGTGAAACGTTTTCAAGTTTGTGTACGAATGATGGCCACGATATGTGTATTGTATTGATATCCGATTTAAAGTGAAAGTTGAATCTTAGTCGTTGGTTGTATTGTTGACATGATGCTCACAAAGTATTGTCTAGTTTTAGAATTAAGCCAAAAATGTTACAAAAAGAAAACAATTGATATTAATGGCTAGTGAATACAATTTACAAAACTTACATCAGGTTATTATTTACTTGTATGGTAAACTCATATTGGGAATTTAATGTTCTAACATTGACATTAATTAGAATAACAAGTAATGTAACAGTGTAGAAATTAAGTAGAGGATTTTTCCATACTTACCATCAAAATATTTATTATATAAATATATATTACATATATTGAAATAAAATTCAAATCTATGTTATAAAAAGTGCCATGTGATAAGTAATAAAAAATGACTTGTATATATGTACATAATTAACAGCATTTTGTCCCACAAATGCTCTCTTTGTTAGAAATATTACAATGTGTTCGACTAACTTTTGAACAGATATCAGTCCACGCCGTATTAAGATGAAAGATTAATAATAAACTGCAAGGTGATCTGTGTCTCACAAATAAATAAGCCTTGTGATTTGTTATAAAAGGTGCCGGGAAAATTCAATTGATTTATTTTATTTTTCTCTGGCACTAATTATTTGACAGGAATATATTACACTGTAATTAATAGTTCTGGCTTAGGACAATTTTTAGTTTTTTGTCTCTATGGACATATATTTTTTCAACAAGTAAACTATTCATACGTTATTAAAATAAAAACAATTATAAAATATACTTGTCTTATTTTAAACCAACCATACATTTACCTCTTCATTCCATTTATGATTGGTAAGTTAAGCATTTAGAGGCAATGAGTATTAATTTCTTTAATGAAAAAGTTGAAAAATGATACATTGTGAATCATCTCCGATCAACCTGGTATTTTTCCTGGTTTTGCCTGCCCAGATACATTCAGGTTTGTTGGTCGACTCAAGCCCGAATTTACAATCAATAAAAATCGTCAAATATGCTGTATAATGCACAATAAAAATATTAACATACACAGCACGAGAGCACACAACTAATAATTTTTTTATCTCGTACATATTTGTTTTGAAAGTAAATAGCACCATTAAAATTCTGTCACACAAAAAATCATGTAATTTAAAATATACAAAATAATTAAGCTTGAGTTCACAATCTGAATTAAACTACAGTGTTTATCACTCAATAAATGTGTATTTGAAGGGGGAAAAAATCAATGACGACAGAGGTGATGAGGGCATATTTTAAAGAACTTAAAATAACTGGATTGTCAAGATTCCCTGTATAACATTCTATTTTTTCCATTTAAGATTTAACTAATTTTCCCCAATTAAATCTTTATTTTTGACAAGATGTTTTTTTAATCTCTCTTATAATACAGCATTTTATTTTAGAAGTTGAAGTTCCCACTTTCTGCATTTTTTTTCAAGTTTTACTAGGTTGAAAATATGTAAGCAGACTGAGTCTGGCTATTTTTGAGTTTCAAATGGTGCCCCTGTTTCTACAACCAAAGGTTAAAAAACCGAACCTAAAAGTTTTGTTAATAGGGGCCTCAAAAAAGATGTTAATAATTTCAAGAGAATTCTTTGCAATTGCATCAAAGTAACTATTTGTTCGTGCCAAGTTAACTTAAAATCAAATCAAATTTTCCCTTTTATGTCCTTAGTTGCCCAATTTGTTTTTACTTTTTTAAGCAGTAAGCAGTTTTTACTTAAGTAAGCAAAAATGTTTCATATTTGCAAAGTTCTTCAAGTATGCAGACTAAAATTTGAACCATCGGTACCATGGAGGTATAATTTGGATTTGATCACCGTGTTCGAAAGTTAGCTAAGAGAATATGCAATTGCGTACAAATCTGGACTCTTGTTATGTCTGTCATAATTGACAAATATTGTCGTTTTCAGGCATGACAGGAACTTGACAAGAGAACAAACAGGCAAGAAAAGCACACAGACTAACTGCTGTGACATTGTGTCTTGTGACAAATCCAGTAGCAATCAGGTAAAGCAGAGACAGAAACTTGCTAACTCTATCAGCAGGAACCAGAAACATTGGCACATACACTTTGTGAGTATTACGCATAAGCCTGGTTATCCCTCGAGCCACTTCGGTGAAGCAATTATCACAGCAAAAATGGTGCGCGAAGAGACACCAAGTAAAGTGCTTAATCTTATAGGAAAAAGGGCACTTTCCATGGTATGGTATAGCCATATTTGTTGACATCTATATATTTTCCTTTTAAAAAATACATTTTCTTATTGTAAAATAGCATAAACAAGATTTCAGCGTTAAATATTCTCTCACAAATATTGAATACTTATTCATAAGTGCACTTTCTCATACAAATTAATTATTATTAACAGATGTGACTTTATAGAAATTTAAGCACCATATACTGTTACAACTGCATAAAATCATAATGATAATAATAATAGTTAAAATGCTAAAGGAAACATCAATTCATCAAGGAACATTACATACTTTAAAAAAAAAATAAAATTAAAAAAACAAAACAGAGGAACACAAAATTCATTGTTCTCAAAACTATGCATGAATAATTCTTAATTGTAAAAACCCTAATATGAAGCTCTCCATTAATACAGAAAGAAAAATCCAAACGTCAAAACATGTCAAATATAAATGCAATGCAAATCTCTTGAAAAATGAAAGCAATTTTATACACAAAAGAGTTCATATACAATAAAAGATTTTTAAGGTTGGTATGAACAAAATTTGAATGAACGTTTTTATAACAACACAAACAAAAAGGATTTGTAACAGATAAATAAATGCATGTACTGTAAGTAAGACATAATACAAAGAACAATGAATCCTTGTTCTTACATCAAATAATACAATAATTGTTTTTTTGTTTTTTTTATAATATGGGATTTACAGCTTATTTCAAATTTTTACAACAGACAATGTTTAAATAATGAAATACAGCAGTTTTAATGCAATAAAAACAATCAAGGATATGATCGTATAAATACAGTGAATCCACGGTACGTAAAAAAATAAATCAATTTATGATTCTATTTATAAAAAGACACAATAATTTGTGTGTACATTGTCCACACAACAGCCAGCAATTACAACATAAATAGGATACTATTTTTCTTTCTAACACATCTTTACTTAAAATATATTCTTAAGTGTATCTATCCTATTTATTAGTAACAATCTGCTAGTTACACTAATGTTTGTTACTACATCAATCGTTGGTAATATTATCAACTTGCAATGGGAATGTTTAACTTTTAAATGAACTTGCAAGGATTTTTTTTTTAGTTTTTCAATGGATGTATTTTATTTTTTCTTGAGTTTAATATACTTAGAAGGAATCATACGCATCAACAGTGTAAACCACACGTATTGGTTGGACAGTATAAATTGGCTTATTAAAACTGTAAGTTTTTTTGACAACAAAATTAAATACTCTTGAAAACATTGGAAGCAATCAGAAAACCTTGTTAACAGAGTTTTAATACAATGCTATTGCCTCAATTTAATAAACTAACAAAATAGAAGTACTGATAACAAATACAAATGATATGATAAAATCAGTGGGAAAAGTCACTAAGCAATACTGGACCAAACAATTTTGGATTAAAAGGATAAAGTAATTTTGACCTCTTGAGGCAGTAACATAGTAGTAATACAGAAGAGAAAGAAATTTAAAAAAAAAAGACATGTTAAACATGCTAAATGGTTTTGGTCCATTCCAATTTTCCAATGAAAAATATTGACAAGATAAAGTATCTTTTGTAAAATGACAATTTTTTCAAAATTTTTTCCTTAAAACGAAAACACTATGGTGTCTATAAATGACAAATGGCCTTCCTTGCCTAAAGATTATATAATTTAATTATAAGGCTATCACAAAAGTATTCCTCACAAATTTAAGCAGCCTGTAAAAATCAGGTATTCAAATGAAAGGAAAAAAAGATAAATACAAAATAAATAAAAAAAATGGAGAGACTATTAAAATAATATTTATAGTGATACTAATTTCCCCGAGTCTGGGCTAGATAAATCCGCACAACCGGAATTGCGTTGTTGAGTTGAACAAGATGGTATTAATGGTGCAGAAACTGGAGTTAAACCAGTGCCCCCTTCCATGAGGGACTCAAAGTTAAAATGAATTCCAGACGAAGGTGTTGAAATTGGTATACCATCAGAAGTCATTCCAGAGAAAGACGTTGGACCGACCAGAAGTGTCGTAGGCCTCCTTCCGTTTGATTTCCCAGTAGAAAACGTTTCTTTTTTCTCGTTTTCTTCATTCGTTTCATACTTAACGAATGGCTTCACATCTATCGGGGACTCTGAGCGTGTCTCTTTGATCCTACAACAAGGTCTGTGGTTTTCTAGAATATATTCCAACTCTTCCTTCTGCATTTTGAGTTGTTGTATTTCATTTTGAAGTCCTTGCTTTTTCTCTTGCAGTCCATCAGTTTCCTGAAAAAATATTTCAGGGCAATTAATACTTGCAAAATGACTATTTGTGTTCAAATGTTGTAACTGAAATGTAACTTACCAGCATTAATTCATTTGTGTGATCCAATCTGCGTTTTCTGCAACGAGCGGCGGCCAGCTTGTTACGTTCTCTTCGAACAGCCCTTCTTTCCTCCTCTTCTGGAGAAATCTACAAAGAATGAAACAAGAAAAAGTTGTGAAAAATGAATGTTTTCAGTAAAATACACGTGTCAAAATATTATCAAGTTAACTTACAGATTTATCCTTGATCGGCCGTCTCCCACCGACATTTTTCCTAGTCTGTGATGGGCTTGATGTTTTCAATAGAGACATTGATGATGAAATATCCATCGGAAACTCGGTGACTCTTGTACTACCACCTTGCCAACTTTTTGTATCGACTACACTTACAAAGCCACAATTTTTGGCCTCAGCACCTGTTTAAGAAAAATGAAACAATATTTCATTATAGGTAACAACTTAAGCTTCAGGTGGATTTTACTTTTTTCTTCCACCTTACATTGAAAGGAATCATTTAGTTGGTTTAGTATGTGTAAAAAATAAATAAATAAAATAAAAAACTTGAAAGTAAGAATTAAAACATTTAACTGTATATTTCATTCAATTTGTGGTGACCACCATTTGCAGTTACAGTGTTCAAGAACGATCTCGGCTTCCACTCCATAGCCAATCAGTGAGCAGCAAACCTTTATATAAGCAGGGGCATTGTCCACTGACTACAGACCCGTCATCGAGGTCTCACAATTCTCTTGTGGAGCAAGCCAACCCCACTCCAGCTCAACAGTTCTCACTCTCTCCCTCTTAGCAGTCGACTTGGCTACCTGTTCTCGGCAAGTCCCTTCTCGCACTGTCATTGCCTATTGACTCCACTGTATCCAACACTGGCTCATCAAATTGGTCCCCAACCTCACCATCAGCTCTTATCAGGGCCACCAAAACTCTCATCACTAAACTGGTGGCCCTGACAGGGTGACCATCAGTCCAAGAGCAATTTTTGTGACTGGGAGGATCGTGCTGCAAGAACCAGCTTTGTACATAATTGGTCTGCTGTTTGGGGAGGCTCAACCCATCGGGGAGCTAAGTGGTGACCACCTGTAGATACCAAGTCATCCACTAGATGTCACCACCGGTTCAGGAATGATCTCTCTCTCTCCACTCTGCAGCCAATAAGCGTGCAGCAATCCTGAATACAAGCATGGTCACTACCTGATGACTTCAGATTCATCGACAAGGAGCAAGTCAATAACACCACACCAGCTCAACAGCAAGAGTACTCAACTTTCACTTCTTGCCCTCTTAACAGCCGACTTGGCTACTGACAACAGCTTGACTGGCTACAAGAGTCCCTTCTCTCACTTCTGAGTCTACTTACTCCACTGTATTGAACATCAGCCCTTATGAGGCTAAACTCTTGGTCAATAAACTATTACTTGAAAAGTATAATTAATTACAAACCTGTTGTGGCGGGCCGTTGAACCACAGGTGGTACAAATCGTGCTTGGTTTTGGTGAGGCTCCACTTGACTCTCCATAAAGGCTTGTTCAACATTCCGGAGAGTTGTAGGTGTCAAAGTAGCTGTAGTTCGTGTTGGAACACCACTGTTTAATCCCTCAAGCTAAAAGAAACAAAAAATGTAAGAATAGAAACAAATTAAATAAAACCAGATTAATGAATGAAAATGTTGAAAAGCCTGTTGTTTCTATTTAATGATTTATTATGAGCGTTGAGGTAGTAAAAAATTGAAATTATATGCAGCTAACATTTGTACACGAGAAAATGTAAGTTGTTATTTAAGCTTAAGCCTAACTATTAATTAATGGGAGGGAGGAAAAATTAGACCTTTTGTCAAGTATTTTTAAAGAAAGTCGTATTTTATTTTGCCATTGTTTATTTCCACACATGACCAAAGGCATTGTCTCCTATTTTTAATCTATTTCCCATTTTAATTTCCAATTACTTATTTTTTCCCCTTGCCTAACCATTGAGGCCACAGACACTCCACGAATTTCAATCTTAAATTGGGTAAAAATCAAAAAATTACAGCTTAGATGAAGACAGCCTTCATCACGACAGTGATATTCATTTTCATGATAAGTATTTTTCTATTATATTCTGAACAGGTTTAAATTTAAAAATTATAATTGCTGCTGAAAATTATGTTTACATTTTATTGCATCCATCAATAGAATTTCTCATATATAGGTATGAGAATAGAGTGTTTCCCTTGGCATCATCGCTACAAAGTAAGATTTTCTAATAAATATCTCTCTGTTTGTTCTGAAACACTTTATTTTATATAAACATTATAAAATTATTGTCGAATTGTGTGCCAATTTTTATTACTTCCATTTGTTAGAAGTACCCATAAATAGGGCACACATTGTTTCAGTCTTGATCAAAGTTGTCTACCATTCCAAGATATCAACTGAGATGTTGGCAATGTAATACATAAAACTGCATTCTGTTAAGTTCTTATTGTTTAAATATGACAAAGCTATAATAACAAATTTAGTCTAGAACAATTGAATCATTAATGATCAATGCTTGGTTGATAATGGTGGTCTGATGAGTTTTAACTTCACACCATAAATAAAGATTAATAACTGCCGTATTGTTCAAAACATTGTAGAATATTAAAACACTCAAACTAAATTTTATTACCTCTATTATTACAAATTATTGCAAATAGACAAATATTTGTGATGTTATAATGGAATGAAAGAAAAATTTAATACATTTGGTTTTTAAAATTGTAATTGAAAAATAAGTAAAATTTTATTGCTCCTTTTGTCATTATTATGATGACTCAACTAGGTCAATGTTTTTTCAGATGGTAGTGACTGGTAGTCATATCCATCCTCCGAGTTTAGCCCTCTACAATTGCAACAGTTAATTTGCCAGTCTTGGTGAGGGTTAACTTAGCATAAGGTACTGTATCTAGCACTTCTAGGTTTATCCATTTGTTTTGTCTTTTTTTCAATCCATTCTATTATGAAGGATTCTGTGTTCTTCTGTTATCCCTGGATTAGGTTCATGGCCTATATACGGTCTTGTAGATCCTCCTCTTGCCAGTGTGTCTGCTTTTTCATTACCCAAATTCCTTTGTGTCCTGATTCCCAAGATATCATCAGACTGTTGAGTTTTCTAAAGTTTTGGAGATTTTGGATGGATTCTCTGACTGGTGCTTTAATAGTTGCTTGGATATCTGATTTTATGAGCATGTTTTTATCAGTGTCCTCTTTTTAAGATTTTCTAAGGCAGATGCACTGATGGCTTGTTCATTCAGCTTGATAGACCGAGATGTACTTCCTTAATTGTTGTAGTTTTAGTTTAATTGCTTATGTTTTGTTTGGGCTTCTACAGAAAATACTTGAATAAGTTCCTTCATGTTTTGGAGCCATCTGTATACCAAACCTTTCTATCTATCACTGCTTCTCCTTTGTGTCTGTTGAGACTTTATAGGATGTAAAGAGTGTTTCTGCAATCACGTTGTTAGTCCCCATTTCTAAAAATGCCTGATTTTAATTATTGTTGTGTGTCCTAAGTTCCTGTAGGTTTAGCGATGTTGAGATTGAGCCCTACCTCATCCTTTTATTGTTTAAAATTTATTTTTTAAATTCTAAAAAAAAAATTATATATATGCACCACTGCTGAATACTTGCGCACTCAATTCACTTCTTCATTTAGATCTAAACTTCAATACCATTATGGTCATACTCAGGCATATCACATATCATTCGTGATTGCTGGTGTGAGCGCCTGGAACGTTCTGCCTCCCTTCACCAAAGCAATCACTGACCATTTTAATCTCTCTTTTCTAGATTACATTTTCCTTTCTTTGTTTGCACCTTCTTTTCTTCACCACACTACTCTTTTCCACTTTTTCAAGCAATACCAAATTATTATTTTCATTTTTTATTATTCTCTTTCAATTAATTAATTGTATCTTGTCTATTGTGGCCTATTGAACTGTGTCAACGCCTTAACAGTGCCTGCTTTTCTATTACCAAAACTTCCTTTGTGGCCTGGTACCCAAGTATTCATCAGGTTTTTGCGTTTTGGAAATTTTGGATATATTCACTTCTTTTATAATTTGCATAAATAATTTATTCTTTGATTATAAGAAACTCCCACAAATAAGCAAGTGCTTGCCAAAATGTCATTGCAGATTTAACTTTTGAAAATATAATTGAATAATTTGTTTAATATATTTCAAACTGCCTTATTTTGTACGTAAACACTGCAAAATTACTGTTAAACATTGTTTTATATTATTAAAAAATGTGGTGAAGGCCGTTGTTCATTGAAATCAGGGTTAGTGAAAATGGCAATGCACAATTTAAAAAAAATTTGTCGCTTCCATTGCGTAAACCTTGTGACGCTTTTGTTTTGAAAGATTTTGAGTGGTAATTCAAAGAAAAATATTTTTTACATCTTTCTAATCGACCGAATGGCTTGTTCCATCAATTTTCACTAGAACAATAGGTGCAGGATTGTCTTATCTGGACAATTAGAAACTGTTCAAATTCGACTTCACCGGACAATAGTATTGTTGAAATCTGTATTTGTCCGATTTACAAAAGGAAAAAACAACCGATGGTGGCACGTTTAGCAGCATAAATTAACACAAACGAAACTATAGAGATAAAAACGTGTTCCAGTTGTTATTGGGGATTTTTGATTAGAACCAGAAGATTATTATGCGTTAGGTATGGAGTTTATGCGAGGAGAAAGTCGCCGTGACAAAGGGGACAGCGTTGTTTTGTTTTCAAATAGGTAAATAGCTTAGAAATGGCAATAAACGGGGTTAAAAACAAGAAATTACGTTTTATCTATTAAACAATTCGACGTGAAATTGTCCGGGCAGTCCACACCAATAAGTCAATTGAGGTATGAGGTAGTTTTCAAGGACATGGGTTGATGTCATCAATCGGAAAATCGTTTCACCTTAGAATCAAAAGCAAATTCCATCCAAACAGATTTTTGTTTTTTATATTTTTTAAAATTAATTTTAATACACAACGAGGCAGAAAAACGAGACAAAAAGGGAAGAAACAATACAGATGTAAGTAAGGGGGGCGGATTATACAGAGTGACGGAACTATAACCTCAAAGGACTCCGATCCGAGACAAAGATGATTTTCAAATCCTCTGTTGTCGAACGAAATGTGTCCAATTGTTTAAAAAAAAATAATAATAAATATTTTATTTTTCGAGCAAAATATAAAGAAAAGGTGCGACAAAAAACGCTGGACTGTTTACAAATGGGTGGGAGGGGGAAACAGGAAAAATTCGTACCGAGGAATTCCGCACGGAAAAGTGGACATATCCCTTTTGAAAAAGTCTTTTTCTTTTTTTAGTAAATAAAGAAAACAAGAAAAGGTCGACTTACCGGATCGACGGTCGACAAATAAGAGCCGATGGATTTCGAGGATATTTTTTCCAATTGTCCGCTTCTGAACATGGCACTGATTGAAGAACGAGCCCGTCTGAAGATTAAAGAACACCTTCGATAAGAACACCGTTGACGGATGAGCCGAAGCCGAATATTCGGAGGTTCGAAAGTAACTGGAGTTGTGAAAAAGAATGAGTCAGACTTTGTTGGGGAAGCCCGCGGAGTGGAGGGGGTCCACGGTAGGTGGGGAAGGGATTGGCGGGAGGGGAAGGGGACGCCCACCACGCTGGCAACACCATCCCGATGATCTCATCAACTAAGTATTACCTGGAAGGCCCCGATGACGTGTCTTTACTATTAAAACCGTTTTACGTTTTTAGTACTGTTTCCGACTAAAACCCCCGCCCGCTCCGAATTTCAAGAAGCAAATTAAAGTATAACGCCTGGCGTTTTCGCCAAATAAGACAAAAAATATGATCAGTACTGAATTGCCTGTATGTCCTAAAATAAAATTGACTTCTTCCCTGACCAACGTTGTTACAATTTTTCATTAACAAAAACCACAAACGTTTTTATTATGATATTCCATGGTGGGATCCACGAGTGAAAATAAAACGATTGTTACAACGAAAAGCTTTTTAGAAAGAACGCAAGAAGCCAGTACAGAATAGAAAAGAATGGAGAGAATTTCCAAAAAAGAGAATTGTGGACAGAAGCTTGATCGATCGGTTAATCGGCCTAAAAAAAAAAAAAAACAGCTGACAGGCGGACTGGACCGATGATCAGGGACGGTCTACCTGCGGGCATTTGAACTGAGACGTTGAGATTAAGTAAACAACAAAATTTCTTAAACCAAAGCAAGAATTGTTGACATATTTGAAAGATCGGTTGATTGGCTGAACCGTTTTCTCCTTCCGAAAGTTCAACAGCGAGACCAATCGGTCCGATGATCAGGGACCTTGAAAAGAAAACATCAGAATTTCTAAAACCAAAGAAAGAATTGGTGACAGATTTGAACGATCGGTTGATTGGCTGAACCATTTTTTTCTTCCGAAAGATCAACAGCGAGGCCAGACAGACCCATGAATATTACGTGTGAGAGTTCTTTTTAACTTTTCAGTTTTTTGTTGAAATTTACATATGATGAACCGACATTGGATCCGTCTACACAAGCTCGTTTTGATATTACTCAAACTCGTTCGGCTTTGCGCTATCATCAGTGAGGAACTAGACGAGATTTAACTAGACGGACCCAGTGCCCAACACCAATCTTTAACTTTAACAAATATATGCTTGGGTTATGGCCCGCGAGTCATTTGTCGGTAGTTTCATCGATATGGGATCACGGCCTGCGGTCCGCCCATTCCCGCTATGCCAGTCAGAAATGCCGTCTTTTAACACAATTGGCGAAAACGGGCGAATCGAGTTTATACTATCTAACTGAAGACGTTTCCATCTTTTTGACTTCTTTTTAAATAGCTGGACCACAAACAGGTTTAAACCAAATTTGATCGAACCATTTATTATATATCATCAAAGTTCAATACAATGAAGTAGAAAAAGTGCCGACACACGTTTGCCAAAAGATCAAAACCAAGGCTACCCTTATCGTAGCTCAGAGGGTAAACCAGTAGTGGGGCTGTCAGACCCATGACACTTACTACCTAGACCTTCATAGTTCATGTACGTACTTTCAGATCGTTCTATGTAATTTTACAAATTAATACAATTCTAGCTTTTTAAGACGGTTTATTTTAAATTATCAGTCGAGGAGAAGAAAGTACTGAACACTGCTCCAGGGTAAACTTTTTTTTTTGACCGAATGGCTACAGCGGTTGATGCAATGAAAAAAATTATCAGGTTAACCCAGATAGAGACACATTAACAAAAATATGATCGATCGCTTATCGCCATGTTATTCGCGAAAGATATACAGCGAGGTTAGACGGAGCTGATTCCATCCGTTTACAGTTCAATGTACCTGTTTATCGTAATATGTGGCACTATCTGTTTTTTAACTATTTTTTAAGGCAAATTTATATCACTACAAGAGGTACTGGTAAGAAATTGCTTCGCGCCTCAATACCCGTTAAAATACGCTGTTGTCTTTTTGGTATGTCCTGTTTATTATTGAAAATTCTTCGGTTTTTCGTTAAACCTCACGAATAATCCAAAAGTGTGGTTGTTTTCACCAATACCTGATCATCTCGGTCCGCCTGTCTTCACTGTTTGATCTTGGCAGATTCGATTTTCACCACAACTTACAAAAATGACAAAGGGACGGAGGAAAAACCCTTCTGATCGACGCGTATAGCAAGACAGGGCAGACCACATGATCCTTGTTTGATAAACAAACGCATGACATCTTGTCCTCTGTCTCCATGCGTTATGATTAATTGTGGCGGAAAAAAGTTTTTTTTTTATTTTTTGTTACGAGGGTACAACAGCAGAGGTCATATAAACCCTCTGGGTGGCGGTGTTATTGAAAAAAGCCCATTTGTAAGTATGTCGGGTTCGAATGCGGGGCCGCTGGATTCGAACCCGGGCCCTTTACCTTACAGTGATGAGCGCCGTGTCAACGCTTAAACCGTTGCGGCCACCGACGCCCCCGCAAAAAAGTTTAAAACGCCTAAAAATAAATTTATACTAGATTAAAATGAAACAAAAAAAGAATTATGTCTTTTTTAACACAAAGAGACGATAAAGACATAGATAAAGAGGTGATAGATAGTACCATCAATTCAAATCAAATTAGTCACACTAAGCATGATTATTCGTCTAATTAGGGCTATTTTTCGTTGGATCGGCAGTAGGCACAGATCGCTGATCCAATATCTCAGAGCCATAAATATTTTTAATTGTATATAGATCTTTGTACTATCATGTATGTGATATGTGTTATTTATTGAAACGAATGTATTTATTTGTGGGAATGGAGGGTCATATCCCCGGTTACCACGAGGAATATCGCATACTATGGGGTAGTGTGAATGTTAACCGGACTATCATGTATTTATCTTGTTTCTGTGTTAAAAAAAAGTAGCGCTATTATTGTACAAAATTGAACATTTTAAAGATAAATTTAATTATTTAATTTAATTTGAGTGAGTAGAAATACTTTGTTTGAATATAAAATATATTTTGCATTGTATAAATTCACTTTTCCACGTCCTAAATGTAATTGTTAAATGTAAACAAAGTTTGTAAATCCCAGGCCCTGAAGATGATCTCAATAAAAGATCGAAACGTTGGCACGATAAAGAAAATGTTTTTCTGAAACCTAGATCACACCCGACCGCATCTCACGATATCTGAATAACTATTTAATTTACACTTTGCCGAACAGGAATGTACAATGAAAGGAACATTTAAGACAAAGACAAGATTGGAAATCCTTTCAATAATTAATGCTAACGTATCTTTATGTTTTATAAAAGTTCTTTTGGGGGCGTCGGTGGCCGCAACGGTTTAGGCGTTGACACGGCGCTCATCACTGTAAGGTAAAGGTCCCTTTACTTACAAATGGGCTTTTTTTCAAAAACACCGGCACCCCGAGGGTTGATATAACCTCTGCTGTTGCGAACCCTCGTTAAAAAAAAAAAAAAAAAAAATTCATTTTTCCACTGCCTGCTTTTTGTTGTTGTTGTTGTAATTATATTATTTGCTGTGCTTTTTTCCGTGTTAAAATCCTCTCATTGTCCAACGCACACAGGAAAATCCATTATACCATCAGCTGTGTAACTCAAGATTTGGTTAAAATGTACGCAAATACTTAAGCATAATTATAAACAAGCCAAGTTATTTTGGGTTCAAAGATAAAATCAAACAAATAACTATATAAATCCTACTGCCTGTTGGAAAGAATTTAGGAACTATTCTAAAGAGAACAATAAAATATTGTCCTAAACAAAAACTGCTTATTTTGATAAAATTATCAGTTCTGATAATGCAGGTAAAGCAACTTGGAATGTAATAAACAAGCACTGTGGAAAAACAAAACAAATTGAATTCCAAAAATTTGAGGGTAAACCCATTTCTGTCCCATTAGGAATTAGTAATTGTTTAAATAAGTGGTACCTTCATGGGGTTGAAAATTTAGCAAATAAAACTAATTTAAAGAATCAGCATTTTTCTGTTCTTATATCTAATTCTTTTTATCTAAGGATTTTGGTTGAGTTGAAAAATAGTATCACGAGCTCAAGTAGGTAGAGCAGCGGCGTATTGAGCCGAAGGTCGTGGGTTCGAATCTCGCTCGTGACACTAACTTTATCATCTCAACCAAAAACCTTAAATAAAAAGAATAATTAATTGGAATACAAATAACGTTGAAATTGATGGTACTCCATCAATTAGTAATTCTAAAAAACTGCTATCTTTCTCATCATCCGAAGCAGAAAATATACAAATAAAAAAAGTATACCATGACATAATGGACACTACCCCGCTATTTCTAGAGATTCGTCCAGCGAGCCCAAGTGAAACTTTGACCAAAATTTTACCTTTTGTGGTCAACCGTTGCATCGTTTTTGCTTTAGGCACCCCTAAAACCATTAAAAACTTCGAAATGGAACATTCCTGAATGAATGTATTGTTATAAGACAAGCCTTTACCCTAACTAAACTACAACTACACACAAGCCGGGTAATCGTTTAAGGACATAAATTCTTATACTCCTCTAAGGGAGTCATCTTTTCCTACGAACTTAGTGAAATTAGCGAGGCTGATTTAAAAGCTGCACTAGCTAGTCAAATAGTCAAAGAAATATGCAAAACACAAAAAGAAGTTAATGGCCAAAAAATCCCATTGGTACTATGATTTTAACCTTTTCAACTCACAATCCAAAATGTAATCAAGGCGGGATCCATCCAAATTCGACCGTACATTCCAAATCTTGGCAATGCAAAAGATGCCAAATTTGGACACGCAACGTCACTATGCCCCAACCGTAATCTCTACGTAAAGTGTGGTAACATGGAACAAGCTGACAACTAAAGTTTTATAGGAAAATGCATCAATTGTAATGGCACCCGTCAAGCAAATTATCGACTCTGTCCGAAATATTTCGAAAAAAAAACGGAAAATAGCGTTTACTCACAGAATTAGCTTCATTGAAGCAAGAAATGGATACAAAAAATTCCAACACCTAATCTCACATTTAGACAAAATAGCCCTCCAAAGAGAGTACATCATGCGCAGAATCAAAAAGAAATGGTATCCGCCCTGACAGCTCAGGTTGTAGAGCTAACCAAAACATTAACAATCTTTACCAAAAAAACCTAATCCTCTCTGTCAGAAAAAGAGGGAGTCCCATAACAAAACACACTCCCTTAACCAAACTAGTACGAAACACGACAAAACCGTAAGTAAAACTCCCTTTCCCACCTGACAAATAACCAAAATCCCCTCCCGCTAAAACAAACACCAACAAAGAAGAGAAATCCCAGTCTCACCATGGAACACAACCAACCATTCACCGTAGTACTGTGGAACATTAACGGTTTCCCAAGCAGACGAGGTCTGAAATACTTATTTAGCAATTAACATACTAACAACTTTGCGTTCAAGAAACACAGTTCAACATAAATCAAATAATCAAAATAAAAAAATATATTATTAGAAAAGACTGTACTGATAATTCAACAGCATCAAGAGGTGTCGGCATACTAGTAGAGTCCTCCCTAGGTCTTCACCAAATAAATCGAATAACAAATGTACAAACTATCTAAATCTTAACCCCATTTAAACGCACGATCTGCTCAATATACCTCCCACCTTGTGGATACCTGGAAGAAAAAGAACTTCCGGTCTTTTTCACAACTCCCCGAACCGGTCGTGGTCTCCGGGGACTTTAATGCATACAACACCGTTGCGACTTAAATCAACATTTAATGAATGACTGGTTTGCATCACATTTAAACAGCGCTGGAACCTTTTCCTGCATCGATCTGACCTTATGTAGCCCTAGGATGTTGGAATATTAGAGTGATCTGCATCAAAAAATTTCTACGGAAGTTATCACACCCCTATCTTCATTCAATCACAGACTTACTGTTGCAATTTCAAATTAAAACGAAGATGTTTAGTTGAACGAGCTGTCTGGAAAATATTTCAAAGAAACTTAGTAATCCTACATATAAATTTTTCCACTAAGATAAAAGTTGCCGTTCAGCTTGTCACAGAAGTGGATCAAAACATCCCTAAAACAACAGTGTCTATCCCAAGATGACCAGTTCTTTGGTGGAACGAGCAATGCTCGCATGCACTGATAAATAGAAGACGAGCTCTATGACAGTTCCAAAAATCCCCCATCTGTCAAAACCTACTTAATTATAAAAGATTAAAAGCTAAAGCAAACTAGATTTGCAAGCACGTAGAACCTCATGAACAGGTGATTTCCGGAAAGAAAACTTATACCCTGATAAATGGACTTCACACCAACATTGGAAATACAAACCCAGTGGACATCGCTGAATCCTTAGGTAAACATTTTTCGCTGACTGCAGACGACAGTTCATACGACCGGTACTTCTTAAATAAAAAACTACTGGAAGATTCATTCACATGACGTTGAAGTTCCTGATGATGATAATAATCCTCTTAATTACCCATTCACATTAAGAGATTTAGAAAACACCTTACATAAAATCATAGATTCATCCCCAGGCGCTGATGGCATACACTTCACCATGATCAAAAACCTTCCACAGGCCTTTAAAAAATGTATATTAAAACTCTTTAACAGGGTTTACAGCGAAAAGAGTTTCCAAACAAAATGGGATGAAGCGATGATAGTGTCAATTTTAAAACCAGGAAAAAATAGATTATCTCCCAAAAGTTACCGCCCAATCTCACTTACAGCTGAACAACATCCACACCTTTTTCTCCTTTGGAATCAAGCTGGTTCAAGAAAGGGACGATCATGTTTAGATCACACTATCTTGCTAGAAACAGAAATTTTGGAGGCCTTTAAAAAAAGAGTATGTTGTACATACAAGCCATACAAGCTTTTGGCATAACGTGGAGAAAAGGTATCATAATAAAACTCACAATGTGGGGAATTAAGGGAGAAATCATCTATTTTATGAAATTTTTGATAAACAATAGATCCTTCAAAATAAGAAATGGTAATACCCTATCAAGTTCATACCCCTTAATTAACGGAATTCGTCAAGGCTGTGCACTCAGTCCCACTCTGTTCTCCATAGCAATAAACGACATTGTTACCCCAGGTATAGTGAAATATGCACTTTACGTAGATGATGTGGCTTTGTACACATCTCACAAAAACACTGCAGAACGAAACCTACAAAAAGCTGTCGATAGTGTCGAGAATTGGGTTTGGGTTCAAGGTTTTAAAATATCGCCAGAAAAATCACAAGCCAATATCTGAATATGGGATGAGTTTATCCATAAAGGGATTCTCCCCAAAGGACGCTCATCACGATCAGCGTCCTCAGCACCTTCAGCTCCTTTCCGGTATCTCGACCGACGACTTGATCCGATAAGACGTAGCGGCTGGTCCTTGGTGGCTCTGGCTAGCTGTCCTCTGGTTGGGCCCCAGACGGAGTGTGGCTGCTTGAGCTAGACTCATTGTATAATCGCCCTTGGACGGGACACACTGGTGTGAGCCCTTGGATGGATACACTGGTGTGAGCCCTTGGACGTGACAAGATGTCATGTTCTACGGACGCTCCTTTCCAGAGCTCCATGGATTTATTGAATGAAGTCATCACAGAAAGCGGAAACCTACGTAAAGATCTGAGGAAGAAGATCAGGCAAGCCATCAAAATACAACCGAAGATCTACAACGACATGAAGACTCAAATATCGGTTCGAACACGACTGCCCAGCCCGACCTGTCCTCCACGTGGTCGACTGTCGTACACGGACGCTGTTCGCCTCCAGTTAAATCCCTCAACTAAGATCGCTAATGTACTAACTGCTCATAAAGTTATCGTACGCCCCTTGGCAGGTAAGGAAGAAATCTCTCGATGTTAAAAAACTAACTAAAACAAAATTGGATCCAACCAAATTAAAAATCGGGTTCAAAAAATTATTTCAATGAAAAACAATGGAGTTCTCATCCACGTTAACTCCAAAGACGAATCGGATACGTTATGTTCTGAAATTAACTCCAAATGCGGGGATGAAATCACGGCAGTAGCATCAAAGAAATACCGATCTCGATTGATAATTTGTAATATACCTGAAGAAGTTACTATACCGCGGATTCTATAATTCGGAAAACAGTGAAATTTTTAATGAAAATAGCTTTCTTAAATCTAGGACAATAATCAAAAGAAAGACTAATGGAACTAATGGGGCAAACGACACGAGACACCTTATTGTCGAGGTGAACTCAACATTAAGGAGCCATTCTCAACAAAAAATTGAAAATATGTTGGTCTACATGTAACAGTCAAGATTACTTGTACATTCGACGTTGTTTTCATTGTAGCAGGTTCCATGGTAACAACAGCACGTGTACAAACGACCAAACTTGTCCTCGGTGCACTGGAAAACATGATGTAAAGCAATGCAACAAAGTAGAATTATCTTGTATCAACTGCATCAATTTTAATACGAGAGCAAAACCACACAACAAAGTCGACACTAAACATTCTGCGACAAGGGGAATGTCCTTGTTATCATCAACTGGTACACCGTCTCCAGCAGGCAATAGATTACGAATAACAATGCCTGACGTCACTAAATTCTATTACAACGCTCCAACTCAATAAAATTTTTACAAATAAACCTCGACAGATCACGAACAGCCACACTAAATTTAAATGAGTTTTTACTACGGAAAAACATTGACATAGTGTTAATCCAAGAGCCTTACTGTATAAGAAATAACACAGCTGGAATCTACAAAACGTGGCAAATTTACCAAGCTGGCCTAGGACGCAAAACGAGCAATAATAATAACTAACCCTAAAACTGATACCATCATACACCTGACGCGGACTTGTTTGCCTGGATGTAAAAATAAAAACGTTTCCAGCTTTTTCTATCATTAGTTCCTACTGCTGCGATAAAGGGGACTTAGAAAAACATTTACAGAAAAGTCAACGTGCAATTAATAATGTCGATCGAACTAACTGATAACCTAATAATTGGTATGGACAGCAATGCCCATTCCAAACCTGGCATGATCGCCTTAAAATAAGATCAACTTCAACCCGAACAAGTCCAGTGTAATGGTAGATATTAACGTATATCTTGGAGGAACAAAACTAAAGATTGTTAACGAACTTAAATATCTGGGCGTAATATTTGATAACAAGTTTACCTGGAAGAAACATGTCGATTACATTAGTCAAAAAGCATTGCAACTGATTAATATGCTTACTCGTTCGGCAAAGGTATATTGGAGCCTGGGATCCGAGGCACTTCAAATCATCTATTCTTGATCCATACTGCCATTTTTGATGTACGCACCCCCAGTCTGTATTAAAGCTGTAGACAATAAGAAAAATGTCAAAAAAATTCTAAGGTGTATAAAGAAAAATCGCTCTACGAATAATAAAAGGATATAGGACAATTCCGTATGAAGCAGCTTGTATCATGGCAGGGATAGCCCCGATTGAACTTAAACTAAGGGAACTAACCGATATCTACTTCACCATAAAAAGATCATTCAACAACAAAGCCCTCCCTGCACTTATCGTGGAACCCACACTGCCTTTAGATGAATGGCCCCATCCGGCTTATATAACTCAAGGACTAACAGAGTCAGTATCATGGCAAGACAAGATCGAAATATACACCGATGGGAGCAAAATGAATAATGAGGTTGGAGCAGCCCTAGTCATCTATGGAGAAGACAACACCCTGCATGAAACAATACAAATTAGACTCGCTAGCTGGTGCTCGAACAACCAAGCTGAACTCGTTGCTATTCTGAAAGCTCTTCAATGGCTCGCGCAGCAGGATGTTGACGGAGTGAACAAAAACGCGATAGTGATGACAGATAGCCACATATCCATTGATAAGATTAAAAATTACAAAGCACGAAGCCTGATGGTATCCGACATCAGAAATATGATAAAATCATTGCGTGATAATGGCTGGAAGATCAGTATTGAAAAGGTATCAGAGCACATAGGGATCCAAGATAATGAGGAAGCCGGCGCAGCAGCAAAGGAAGCCACAGAAAACGCTGAACTCGAAACAACAGTCACAGTAGTGCCGAAAAGCTACATCATCTCCATGACCTCGAAAATAACATTGGCCCAATGGGAAGAACGTTGGAGGCGTTCTACTAAAGGTCTTCAAACTAAAAAGTTCTTCCCAACGGTAGAATCGAGGATGGCAGTAGAACTGAAACACCACCATATGCTTACCCAACTTATAAGCGGCCATGGACGTACCGGGAATGTCAGTAGATTCCACACAACACCTTCGGAATGCGACCGTCCAGGGAGACCTCAACAAACATGGGGCCACATCTTATTCGACTGCCCCATTCAAGAACTACGCCGAAAATCTCTAATAAGGGACGCTGTATTTAAAGGTGGACAATGGCCACCTACTGTGGAAAAAACAATTGATATCTAACCCATCATCTTATTATGGAGTGCTCTTGTCTTTTTACACTAGTATTCTCAGTTATCTAGTTTTATTTGTCTAAGTAAAAAAAAATCAAATTTTTAATATTCTTCAAAAATGCAAACATATTCAGAATAAATATATAAAAAGTTTTTATAAAAATTATTTAATTAAAATGGTTAGTCAGAAAATTTACCAAAACACCGGAATAACTTTATTTATGACGTTTGGTGATTAGTGACCGTTAATCGATATTTATTTAAAACTATTAAATTTAACTAAAAATTTATTTCAAGGTTTTGCTCAAAATAGTGCATTAAGAACAAAAGAGGCGTTGCAATTATGATACTGATTTGTGATACGAGATGTGTGACTACGTGGCGTGCGCTTGACGTCGGATAGATGTGCACACCCTTCCAAAACGAGACGAGAGAAGTGTGTTCCGTGTGTTCCCCGCTTTATGCTTTTGTGAGGTCTATGCAGGTATAGATTATTGCAAATACGAGAGGATATGCCGGAAGCAAGATCCTACACTAAAGAGCCGCTGGCAAGGTTAGGGAGGTTGATTGGTGGTCAGTGAGTTATAAAATTGTAGCTGGACGCCTTTTGTCCCTACCCCTATCCCTAACACCACTTTCCCCTTTTTCACACCGTTACCACTTTTTTCCTTTTAGCATAAAATTTCTGCATTTTGGTTCGATACAATTAAAGAAAAGGGTATACCGCTAGAGCTATGAAATTTGCTAAGTTCAACCGTGAATTTTTCCAATGAGGTTGCAAATTTAGTTTTTTTACAAATTTTAAATTTAGTTGTTTTTGAAAGATTTGTTGTTGTTTTTTTAACCAAAAATTACATTGGACGTTTTAGAAGGCTGCCTTTTTAAAGGAAATTTAACGCTCTTTTCAATACGTTTTTGGATTTCCCCAAAAATGAATAGTCCAAGAGTACGAGTAGATTAATGACGAAAACCGTAGATAGTTGAAAGGACATAAAATGTTGAATATCAGCGAAAGGGTTGGGAATCGGACCGTGGTTTTTAGGTTGGTTTACTTTTTGTTGCATTTGAGATGTACAAGCAACTGATGAACTTTGTCGTACGAGTACCGAATCACCCTGTATATGAAAATTCCAATGCTTGTCACGATAAAATGACATCCCCTAGTCTTTATGTCAAACAAGGAGTGCCGCAAGGTACCTTTTTGGGTTCTATTTTTTTTCCTTTGCTTTATAAACAATCTATCATGTGATCTATCTACTGATCATTCATCACTTTTTGCAGATAATTTTAGTGAACTTTTTTTATGTAGTAAATTCAGTTGAAATATTAGAGAAAATTGAACGGCTATTCCCAAATGAAAATAATGCGATTCTAATAAACTTACACGCTCACAAGACCTCTGTCGTCTTTTGAACATACCAGAAGCATAATGAATATCGATGGTTTACTTTTGTATAACCCTTATATTAAAATTCGTGAATTCCCATATCTTTCTTGGTAAGTTAAATAACCAACTTACAATTAGCTATAATAAATTATCGAAATCCATATATGCCATTCAACGGTTAAAATATGTTTTGAATCTTCGCGCGTTAACATTATTTTAATTAAATATACTTTTTATCAATGGTTGAAATGAAAACGTTAGTGTCACGAGCGGGAATCGAACCCACGACCTTCGGCTCAATATCTTGGCCGCTGCTCTAACCATTCGACCTATCGTGTATTCGATATCCTTTATTACGTGGCAATAAAGATTTTTAATAATATATCAAACAATATTAGAAGTGCTAACAACTTTTTAAAGCACTTACTAATTAATGCATGTTTTTATAATTTTAATGCATTTTTTAAAATTTCATTTTATTATGTGTATTTTCATTATTGTTTATTGTTTCTATAGTATGGCTATATAAATATTCCGTTCAATTTGTAAATTCATTTTCGGACAACAAAAGTCTGAACTTGACCTGTTGTACAGGTTTTAAATTTTGAACAAGTACATACATGGCGCGGCTGATCAGTATTTTGTATAGTATACAGATAAAGATTTATTATTTTTATTATTAAATCATGATTTTCGTTAGCCTCAGCCAGGTCCAACTTTCTCTTCATTCAGTAAATTTTCCTTCCTCTTTGGAACTACTACTATCTTACTGTTACTAATCCTAATTAGGTCATTTCTTCGTATTATTAATCAGATTTTATCCTAGAGTTTTTTTTCCCTATTCTCGCTGGACTATTTTTACTGTTTATTTTTAACTCGATTGTTTTCTCAATCGTTCTTTATCAATTATATACTATTAAATAGTTGTTGGCTAACTATTTCTAATTTACATAGTCTCTTTCTCCCATGACCTTTTTTAGTTAAGATGCTTTTTCCTAATTCATCCTTTTTCTCTACTAGATTACTATATTTCACACGTGTTTTTTTTCGTATAGGTATAAATGAATAAATAAACAAGAATGATCGAGGGGTATGAAACTAAAAAGCTGTACGTGTTAGTTTACCACTAAAGTCTAGTGCATGAGAGGATGAAACGATCGAATGTTTTGTACGAAAAATTAAGAAATCAAAAATAGGAAATTTGGGTAATTTTATAATATTATTGTAAAAGAAATGCTTGAGAATGTGCACTGATGAACCAGTACAGGGTGAAGATACCACATCAACTCGAGCTGGCCAATACAACTGGAAAATATTCCAGTAAGGAGACATGACAAGTCTTTAAAGTAAAGTTAAATCATAAATGTTTTGATATCACCTAGAAAAGTAACATACAACTTGCAGAATTAGAAGTTTCTTACATTACGTAAACCCGCACTTGGGACAAGCCCCAAAAGCCGCAGTCGCACTACCTTCATTAAAGATTCTACAGGCCCGTCAAAGTGTACTCTTTTGAAAAACCAATTTTAATATCGATTCATCAAGGTAGGTACAATTCAACAACCCTCACATCGTGAAGCAAGCCATGTGAACTGGAAGAGTATGATCATACTATGCCTTTGGATGATCTTAAAGGATTCAGTTTGAGTTAGGTCCGTATGGATTGGTAATAAATTCGGATCAGGAAAAAGATCCTCAGTACTGGCTCCATGGTTTCCACGGCAATACAGATTGGTTCTTGAGGGCTCAATAGGTTAAAACTGCATTCAAACCAACATATGTCGGTGAAAGCTGTTCTGGTTGCAGACTACCCAGCTTTATGGCAAAACTGTTCTGCAGCAACTTAAGTTATCCTCCCCTCCTGCCTTTCTGGTGAAGAAACCCCAAAGTAATGAACTAGAATGTTGAATTTACCCTTGATCGGGCAAACAGTCCCAATCTCGCTCCTTAGGATTACAAGTTATTCTACTATTCGGTTCACGTTGTATACAGGTTATATTCGCCTTTAAAAATTTAACGCGGAGGTGAAGGCTAGATAAAAATTACGGTTCCGATGATTATTGAAAACAAGGGTATTGGTACTGTTAGCTGAAATAAATGCAAAGAAAAAACTTTTAGAATCGTAGAATGAGAAATTGATTCCAGTTTTTGTGTTTGGAATGGTCAGTAGCACCTATTGTTAAATATTAATTTGTGTTCTTAGTAAGTTCCAAAAAAAACGGAATAAATGAATGGACCAAACAGGTGAAAATGTTCGATGATGTTCGAAGTAGGCACCGCCTCACTTAGTACCTGTTTTTCCTTCGTTTTCCTTTCAATAACAACTATGAAAAGGACAAAATGACAAGATGCTGACTCTACCACCGACCTTATCGACTCTTCTGAACATCACACAAATATAGGTTAGAAACAGAGGCGAGAGATCTGTGAGGTGTTTAACCTGTAGCTTGATTTTCTCGGATCCCAACCTCGTCCCGCTAGGCGTAAACGCGTCATGCATTTTGCCATCATCAGAGGTCCGTATTGTGAATTTGTTGCAAAGTCTGCAGGTTCGTTTAAACAATTGTCAGCAGTTTGATGTCCCCGGTATCAACGAGGTCAGCCTATTTCCACTAATGCGTCGAAAAACACTTAAAACAGGTGACCGAGCATTTATGATGTCGAAATGGCTAAACGCGCCTGACATACCTAGGTGGAATAATTTTTCCTGGGCATAACCAAGGACAGCCACCGAAGCTATAAACTTAATAATCAATTAATCCCCCCTCCCCAAACCGATGCTATAAAAGCAGGTCGGTTAAGTTATGACGTTGGAAAATTGTTGGTTGTGGTTTGAAAACGGTTGGTTGAATGCATAATCATATTTCCGTTTACGTCTTTATTTTTATCATGAACATCTTCTTTTCATTACTATACACATGTAGATCTATCTTATCATATCCGCGGGGAACAAAAGAGCATAAAACGATATCAGCTTCCTTCTGCGTCGTTTCCGCAAGGGATCGAAATTACCATGTTAAAAAAGGAAAATGCTCGTTGAAGGATGTATTAGATATGATACAACTGCAAGCGGGCTATTGCGAGAGGGCCGAATAATCTCTCTTATATTCGCTTGCTTTCTCTATGCGATAAGAGAGTAGTCGGCGTAAGCGCTTCGCTACTTATTCTTATGTAGGGAAAGGTGAGGTTCTAGAATTCAATAAACCAGAGAGTATATTCTCAAACATTTATTTTAACACCATTCCGCTTTTTACATATGCACAACCACAACAAAATCTTAATTAATATAATAAGTCAGCCACAACTCTAAATCTGGGATGGGTCTATTAACACTGGGACTTACCCAAAGCGATGCTTGCCACGATTGACGTCCTCAGCATCTTCAACGCCTTTCCGGTATCTCGACCGTCGATTTGATCCGATGAGTCCCAACGGCTGGCCCTCGGTGGCTCTGGCTTGCTGAGTCCCAGACGCAGTGTGGCTGCTTCTCTTCCGGATCGATTCCTCGGAGTCGACTGTTCACTGCCTGAGGTGAATCTTTGACTGACTGGTGTGAGCCCTTGAGCTTGATTCACTGGTCCCCCTTGGTCTAGACTGACTTTTGATTTCCAAATTATCCCTAT